ACTCTCCACAATAAAAATGGTTAATCAACCTCTCATAATTACAAAAAAATGAACAAAATGAAAAATTATGATTGGTTGAATGAGGTTTTCACGGTTTTTACAAACTGAGTGGTTTTTATTTGAACCCATCCATATATATATATATATATATATGCTAGTAATGTATTTGTGCAATGTTGTATGATGCATTTTGATTCTGAAGTCGAGAACCTCAAACGACAATCTTAATCCATGCTTTATTTTCGTTTTTGGTTTAATTTTCTATTTTTAGTAATAATTAATGGTATGCAATTTTTTTTGGTAACAATGTAAATATTTATTTTTATTCAGATTTTTTTTCGGTTTCATATTTCGTGTCCGTGTGTCATTTTTTCCCTCCCTATTCTCATATTTTATTATTTCTTTGTTCATGATTTCATAGTTTCAAGGTTTCACGATTTCAGGGTTTCAGGATTTGATGGTTTCATGAATGAAAAAACTCATAATTTGATGGTACATCATTTCGTAGTTTCAATAAGCAATGACATAAAAAATCTTGAAAATCTAAATTTTCTCGAAAAGATCAAATTTGAAATCCTGAAATTTCTAAAAAGAATTTGTAAATAGAAAATATCCGTATACACTAATTATATAAAAAAAGTTGAAAAGGATATGATTCCCAAAATAATAGGATATTGATATTTTCCTTAACTAATGTGTTTCATGCATAATTATATGCTTACCCATAATAAGGTGATCCAATAAAATTAAATAAAGTCTTATAAAATGGATTAAGACCTAATAAAATCGAATAGAGTTCAGTGAAGCCCATTAACGCCCAATAAAATGAATTTAGTTCCAATAAAACTGAATAAAACTCAATAAAGTTCATTAAGGTCTAATAAAACTGAATAGAGCACAATAAAATAAATTAAAACCCGATAAAATGAATTAAGGCTCAATAAAATAGATTAAGACCCAAAAAACTGCATAAAGTCCATTAAGGCCCAATAAAACCGAATAAACTCTATAAATTAAGACCTGATAAGAATAGATCAATAATCAAAATCAAATAAAGGCCAATAAAACTATTTAAGGTCCAATACAACCAAATAAAGCCCAAGCAACACACACATATTATTTATAAATTCACATATCTATACTATTTTATTAAGCAAATTTAGTAAAAGTCTTAAAGTCTTAAAATACTAAACGTCTAAAATACCTTTTATACTCACTTTTTCACTTTTCACCCCCTCTTCTGCTCACATGTACTCACCCCCTCACATATACTCACCCTCTCAAATATACTCACCCTCTCACAACCGATTTTTTTAAGATTATAATTTAAAATTTATACTTTATACCCCTATAATTAATTAATTTATTTATTTTACATCATTTAYTTTTAAATGTTTCATTTTAAACATTTATCAAATTAACATACATAATCGTATATCAATTAAAATATGTTTAAAAATATATTTTTATTTTAACAAGTTACACCATTATAATCGTCTCGTTTATACCTTTGAAATGAGTCCAATATTGAATAGTTTTTGACTTAATTATATTATTATATATTATATATATTGTGAAAAAATATTTTTAATATTTACGATTTATACTTCTATAGTTATTTATTTATATATATACTATATATTTTGGGGTTAGGCTGTCCAAATTGCATTGTATAATATGTTTTGAATTAATATGTTCTTGGATTTTTTTGAAATTTATATGTACATATATTAATTCAACCTTAATCTGAGTTTTTGGACAAGAAAGAGGGTAAGCAGTTGAAATTTCATTATAAAACTCATCTTTTTTTGTCTTTTCATGGCTTATGATATGTCAAATTTGTAGTTTTCTTTATTGGTTTGAGTGCTTATCTTAAAACTCAAGTTTCTTGGTTCTTTGCTCTTGGTGTAAATCGAATACATTTGTGGAGTCGTTTAAATATGTTGGATTTTAAATATATTGGATTTTAAACTGTCATACAATTTTTTCATCGATAGTCTGTAATTGGAACCATAACTCTTATTTATTCAAATTGTATTAATATGTAAAGACCAAGTGTAACATATATCATCGTTAAATCTTATCTTATAAAATTAGTGGAACTTCAAAATCGTTAAAATTCATAGCTCTCGCCGTATTGCGCGGGTACACAACTAGTACACATACATTGAAACATATATACATCATGTGATACATGTATTTTCAACAATATATACGTTGTGTATACATATGTATATAACACATATATACACAGCGTGTATACATATGTATGTAACACGGGCCAAGGGAGATATACACATATAACACATACACATGTATACATATGACGTATACACTTGTGTAAATATAACACACATTATCCAGACATTCACATATACACATACATATAAATATATTTACAACTATATACATTATAAGATACATGTATCTTCAATAATATATACATAGATCCAATTATGGTTAGCAATAAACACACATATATACAAATCATTTATACATATA